TTAAAGTATATAAAAATGTTCTCCAAGGTTCATGGATCATTTTAGCATCATTAATTCATAATTTTAACATCAATTTCATGGTTTATGATTCTTAGTTCTTCAAGCATGTCAAACACAAAACTCAACCAAATGACCATCTATGAACGTAGAATCGATCTATATGAGCATTCTAGTCATTAGATATATCTACGGGCTTACCTTGAAGCGTAAGGGAGGTTTTGAAGATTTTCCGGTGAAACTTCCAGCGACTCTATCTCACTGCTCCGGCGACCTCACACAAAGATGACAACACCACTGGACTCTACTCTCAGCAAGGAACAATATAGAAGGAAGAATGAGTTGTTTTGGTGATTAAATGAGGGAGTTGGGTTGTTCTTAAATAGCCCAGGGAAGAAGAAGAAGACACAGGTTTGCAGCTTCCGTGATTGAGCGACGAATTTGGAATCGGCGTAATTGAACAGGGCGCCGTTTGGTGTGTAGTCCCTGATTGGGACTAATTTTGGTCTTAGTTGGGGTACACTTTTTGTTCCAACTTTCTCCAAATTGAAATCCGATTGAACCGTTGGGGTCAAACAGTCAAACTCTACACATTGATATAATTTTCATTAGTTATTGACAAACTTTAGAATTTACTTATTTTTGGGTCCTTCTCAGTAATTAATTAATTATAAATTCTTCAGCTTCTTACTTTTTTTGGGGCCTATTTTTGGGGCGTTACACACCAGCTTTATACATCAAATTCTTCAGCTTCTTACTTCGAAACCTTCTATCGAAATTGCTTTGTAGGTGGCGGGGACAATATCTTCAAGTGACTTAACCTCTCTCCAATTCTGGAACATTTGCGAATGCATGGTCAATACCACCGTGTCTATAAGATATTATGCTTATATGGCGGTGTGGAGCCACGACATGGCGCATGATATTTGGCATGAACTACTTCCAGCTTCCACCATCCTCAACATCCACAACGGAAAAAGCCAAGGGAAAGATTCACCATTTCCCGTCATTGCCACGGCAAGTAATAAAGTTTCCTTATACTTACTGTATAAGTGAGTTCCATCCACTGAAACAACTAGAAGACAACAGTGAAAGCCATCAATGAATGCCTTGAAGGTCCATAAAACGTACTTGAACTCAAATGTAGTGGATGAATTCGTAGGTTGTGTTTGCAAATTCACAACTGTCCCTTAGTTTGATCCCATAATTGCACCGAGCAAAGGAGCTAGTTTGTTGTACGAGCCCTCCCAACTACCGTACAATCACTGAATGGCTAATGACCTTGCACACCACACCTTCTTAAAGGAGACAGAGATTTGGAACAACTCATTATAAGTTTCACTTTATAACCAGTATCTTCTTCAATATTTGGATCAACCAAGGCACTTATGAGCTCACTTGTTAACAATTTGTCGTCTTTTGCTCATGTGTAATCTGGTCTACACTAATGATACTCCTGGTATTGCTTTATGGTGCATATAGTAGTCCCAACATTCTATGCTACTTGTATGAACCAAGTGCATTGAGGGAATATACACAAGTCGCTCTCCAATAACGGCTTTGTTTCGCTTTTGTGCAAAAGTGTCTATGCTCCGCAATGTTTCGTAATGACACAACTTGTTGTAGACTTTGGAAAGAAGGATAGTTATTTCCAATCTCAATAATTGGGAGGTGGAACGTCGGTTGCAACGATCTATAGGTTTCACGTCTATGCATGTCCTTTAATTGTGGCATTTGATGAACCTCATTGCAATAATCTCTTTCTTCTGAAGATATGTCTTCTTCATCTTCCGTACCTTCTTCATCTTCCGTTGAGAGTGCAGCATACGTAGGATCATCTGGATCGCTCTCAATATTTTGAGCAAAATTGGACGAAGAAGGCTGCTCCATCGGTTGGACAAAACATGGATTGCCATGACCTTCATCCTCATCATCTTTGGACACGATGATGAATACTTCAACCACATCGTATTCACGTGATGCAATTCGTATAAAATGCCTCAATGTTTGTTCATCATTGATTGGGAGAGGTCGTAAACCAACATACACCCTGATTGATGTCTCAAGAATTTTCCGTAGAAAGATTCCATGCCTTGGAATCTGTCTTCAAGTACATCACTACTTATTTGAGCGAGAAAGGTGTTGTAGGAGATATCGGAGTAGAGCAATAATGACTTCTTCGGAAGCAAAGAGTATTGATCTTCGCTGTTTAAAACTTGTATCTTACCATTCCAATGAGCTACAAGAAGTATACTATTTGGCTCTGTCATTGCTTATTTTTGTGAGTAGAGCATACTATATGTTCAGTTCTATTTATAAGGTGTAAAGTGGTGGATATTAGATTGGTTGGTGGGGGTAAATAGTTTGGTGGTTGGGAGTGAGAAGGGAGTTAGGTGGAAGTGAGTATTATTTTAGTTAGGTGGGAGTGGGAGTGAGTATTATTATATGGTAGGTGGGAGTTAGTATTATTATAGGGTAGGTGGGAGTGAGTATTATTATAGGTATGTGGGAGTGGATATTATTATAGGTAGGTGGTAGTAAATATCATAAATTATCTAAACAAATATTTCAACATGTTTACACATCATAAAATATCTCAACAAACATTTTAAAACATGGAAACATTAAGTAAACATCACAATATATTAAACATAAGAAAAATACTAAAGATGATCTTGTCCACCACCGATGACCCCGTCACCACATTTAACCTCGAAAACAAGTGCATCGTGTCTTCTATCTGCTCGTCTCCTAATATGTCCTTGGATTATAGACTTGCTGCTCCTGTGGGTGATCAAGGATAGATGCATGTCCAAGAGCACGAACACACTCTCCTAACAACTCATGAACTCTCAAAACTTCGTGAGAAGGTACAAAGCCATCTGGATGCCTACCCGGATCAAGGCGCTGATGGCAATCCACCATACAATATAACTACAAACAATATTATTGATTAGTCTTAAAAACTTATGATTTAGATTTATGTATATTATGAATACTTACTGCGGTCTGTAGCTTGGGAGAAATGGGGATGTATCCTGGTCTATGCTGATGGGCGGGGTTCGCTATCTATCGTCGACCCCGAAGGTAATACCGCTAACAATACTCAGGTGTGGCATCCACCATCCCAAAATCCATCGGAACTGTAGCATCATACCGTCATTCACATACCTCCCAATACTGTCTCTAATCATCGCCAATTTGCATAATATTTGACTTAATATGGTGTAGATGTTGATCATAGACAACACCTTAAAGGACGTGTTGGAGGGAACCAAACTAGTTGCAAAACCGATCTAGATAGTACATCTTCACTACATATGCACAGATTAGAGGAATGCTTGAAATCCATATTCTGACTCCACCTGAACAATAGGGCGGTAGGGCTTCGAGATTTAGATAAATCATCCCCATTCCTTTATATTTTCTCAAACGGACTTCAAATCTTTTCATCTTCTAACCACCATGTGAGAAAAGAATCCTCGGTTGAGGTAAGAGAGAGAGATTTACAACAAGAGTTTAAGAGATAAGGCATGACACGCAGACCGTATTATAATCAAGTAAACTATAGCCACAATCATCCACCATACATATCATACATCCACACTGGGAATAGAGATATACATACACCGGGTGAGCCGCGCTCACCCCAGGCAGTACTAGAAAAGTACTACGATAGTAAAAATTAGATGCCAAAATAATTCCAATAAAATTTTATAAAAATCATTTTATATGCTCTGGATAATCGGCCAGCATAAAAAATTCCATAATATATCAAATGACCAAAATGCCCTTTTGCAAAATTATTTTCGAAAAAGGCAATTAAATATTTGAAACAATTTTGCAAAAATAATGAAAATTAAATTTCAACTTTCAGTAATTATTTTAAACATTTATAAACCTGGAAATAAAATTTCCAAAACTTATAAATCCTTATTTCCGAAAATATATTAGTTAAATCTTAATAAGTTTTAACCGGCCATTTAAATTGATTTCGGAAACATTAAATTGTAAAAAGTTAATATTTTGAAAAACATTATTTTTCTAACTGAGATATAACTTTCCAAAATATATACTAGTTGTTTATGTAATTAAAATACAAATATATAAATATATATAATATTTCGGTAAATTACTAACTAATAATATTTTGTACAATATATTTATCAACAACCTTATTTAACTTATAAATAATATTTCCAAGTTTAATAAAGTTCATTTTGAATATTCCCATATTTATTTTTGGTTTTCACCTAAATAAATACAATAAATTCAAAATAGGAAATAATACATTTTAAAATTACAATATAGTTTTATTAATAATCATAAAATAATGTTTTATGTCCAAATAAAATTATATATACTATTTCTACCATATATATATAAATATATATCTCGAAATATATATATATATATATATATATATATATATATTAGTGTAGAATTAAAATAAATAAATTTAAAATTAATTTCAATGATTTATTTAAGTCCAATACTTTTTCCAAGACTAAATTAAATCAATTTACTAATTTTTGAATTTTAATAATTACCAAGTTAAAACTTTGACCTTTTAAAATTTAAAAAGTCCAACTTAAAACTATAGTTTTTTACTTTGGCTCTGATACCACTAAAAGGTAACCATGCAAGGATAAGCAGCGAAATATAAAAATCTTAACATACTAACATGATTATCTTGCCCAGAATCATGTTTTAAAACTTTTAGTAAAGTAAGAAATTTATACCTTTCTCCGGAAACGGTAAAAACGAAGAAGTCGTATGAAGAGCGTTGAAAGTGCAAACATAACCGTTAGAGCATCCGGTCTCCAACTTTGACACACGACAATGCCAGAGTCTACCACAATCCTTATGCTAGTAAAGATTGTAGTAGTATAAAATATAAAGATTAAAATTGGGATAATAATAATCTTGTATATTTCTATAGAAAATATCTCTAATAATATTTAGAAAATATTATAGATGTTTTCTATAAACATAATGATATTAATGGACCACACAATATTTCTTTTTTTCACTAAAATGCAATGGCCGAATCACACTTATTAAAATGGTGATGATAAATGGCTAACGGTGTGGTGGTTAAATAAAAACAAAGATGTTCCATTATTTTTCTCATTAGCTAAATGACAAAATTAAGTAGTCCACTAATTTATCAATCAAGCAAAACAATACTTGTCAATCTTTTAAAATGATATGGCCGAAAGTTTGATTGTGAGAAGGATTTTCAAAATTCTTCTCCACTAAAATGTTCAAAGTGTATTTTACTTGACACCAAAAATTAATATAAATCTAATTTTAAATCAAATAAAATTACCAATATCATTTTAAATCAAAATAATTATTTTCATAATTAAAATGACAAAACAAAACAAAACATTCAATATAATATATATATGTGTGTGTGTGTGTCTATATATATATATATATATATATATATATATATATATATATATATATATATATATATATATATATATATATATATATATATATATATATATATATATATATATATATATATATATATATATATATATATATATATATATATATATATATATATATATTACAGTTTGGTATCGGAGCAAATGGTTTTAAACACGATCTTCGGATCAATGTTTGATTTAAAAATATATATTATATATTTTGGGTAAAAAAAAATTGTCAATCACATCCACGACTCTCGCGTCCCTCTGCTTCAGGAAAAAGGTATGAGAATTTACTTGGTAAATAATGACTCTATTAGAATTCTCATTAAATAACAATTGATTAGTACTGAAACCGTATCGAGCATAGACTCTAGTTGAACTTTTGTACTCGGTGAAGAGACGAAAGAATAAACGATATGTTTATAATCTCCTGATACGTTATCAACGTACATTTCGCATCGCAAATGACGAAACTGATCTGCATCACAAAATTGTACGAAAGTGAGACGACTATGAAGAAACGATAAATGTTGAGAAACATCTGTGAAGCTGATGTCAAAAGATCCTCATGTGAACTCAAGACAATCTAATCGCTGATTCGAACACGAACGTTTAGAATCAATAAACTCTGTTATCTAAAGTATCTGATATTATTGTTTGACTCATTAGGACACATTATGCGATTACTTAATGTGAATCGAAATCGTTCGTTAAGCGACAATTCTTTGTGAAACATCGTTGAAGTACCATACAAGGAAACCGACATTATCCTTAGTATGCATTAACGAACTAACGTCGTTGTTGTTGGCAATTTATGATGAAGAATTCCTCAACTGAAAACCAATGATGGTAACCTTATAGAGGTGAAAGCAAAGCTGATTTCTAAACCGACCAAGTTCGACTCGAATATATATGCGAAAACATCTCGAGTGTGAAGTCTATTCGTGTGATACCCAAAAAAAAAGAAGCCTTTGACTGGAACTTGTATTGTCCCATCCTCGAAAAGAAGAAAACCTTTGTTAACTCAACACAAATTGAGAGTATGGAAACATCCAAAGTGTAACACTTGTAGAAGACATCACCCAGGAGAATATTAGATGACACAAGGATTATGTATAGGTTGTGGTAAATCTGGGCATTTTCGAAACGAATGTCCTACAAACCCTTGGAAAACCAATACCAATGGCCATGTTCAAAGACAGTCTACCTCAGCTCAGCTTGCACCAGCAGGAAATAATCCACAAATAAAATCATGCAGATGCATATGTAGTGAAAGACCGCGATGAAGAAAACTCTGGTGTCATCGATACGAGGTAAGATAACGAATTGTTCAACTCACGGTAGTTGATAAAGAGTCTCATTGATCTTTCTTTATTTGCGTATGAACAGAATAGGTATTCAAAGAGAAAACACTTGATCATTTATTAAGAAATCTTTAAGTTTTAAATTTCAATGGAAAGATATTCAATGTGGAGTTTACATAGATATAAGACAGCGTAAGCCTAAGATCAATACATGCATAATTGTATTGAATTATTGAATAAGGAAATATTTTAATGATGACACCAGAGTTTTCTTCATCGCGGTCTTTCACTACATATGCATCTGCATGATTTTATTTGTCTAAAAGCTCACCAACAAAGAAAGAAGATATGAAAAGTTTCCTTTGATTCAAAGCCATGAAGTTCTGTCTCACCGCATCATCTAGAAACTTGATTAGGTTATTGAAATAACTGTCAATGTTTAAAAGACCAATGGGTTTACTGTGTAAACCTTCGGATGCCCATGAGATCAAAGTGAATAAACCTTCCATAGTGTCAATCCCTCCAGGAAGTACGATGAAGGCTTCCACAATATGATTCATCTCGAAATACTTATAGTAATTGCTGGAGACGGTGTACTCTACACCGTACGTAGGTCCGTAAACCTGTCGTGTTGCTATATACCCTGGTATAAACCCTCGGACTCTACCACCATTATTATAGACTGTTGAAGCTACAGCTCCTTGAAGGCCAACGTTGCCTCCTCCGTAGGTAAGCCTGATTTTTCGCCGTACCAATTCCCGTCCTAGATCAACCGCTATAGCCATGAACCTTGGATTGCTACCAAGAGCATGACAACCAAGTAGACCAACGAATCTTATGGTATAAGAAAGAGCTTGAGAAGTTCCTTCCATAATGTGAGAATGTGAGATACCCTTATCACAATCATGCTATATATATAGACTAGAAATTTGACCTTTGAGAAAAGAGTAGTTATCCTTAGTCGAAATTTGTACAGCAAAGATGGATTCAATTTACTCACCAATACTACACTCTGTTGATGATATGATGTATTGAGACTCATGAACAGTTAGATTCGATGGCCTGGAATACATTCAAATCTGAGACGAGAAGTCAAAACGGCTATTTCCCTAAGACAATGACTCCTTGAGTAACTTCCAAAGAGTGAAACATTGAAGGATGAAAACTTACGATTAGTAACGATAATTCGCAGACGTTATCTTTGTATCATCTGATTCATACCCTTGAAATACTCAAACTTATTGTGTTGATCACACTCTTGAAACATCCCATTTGACAAATCTTGAAAAGATTGAATTCCATTGCTGGTATCAAGATATTAAACCATGAAAAATTTGTCATAACTCACAATTCTTCATATAATCCCCAAGATGCTTTTCAATACCGATCTTCGAAATCTATACCCTTGGAATACGTGACTCGATCACAATAGTAAAAAAATACCCTGACTTAAACATTATGTTAAACCTCTCTTTGTGCACTACAAAACGATCAATACAATCAAGCTATCTCTAAGGATTATTATCAATGATATTGTTAGAATCCTAGCAAGGAAATGTATGTGCCACAACTAGAGAAGAAATGACGTCACAAGAACAGGCTGAATCATTCAAGTGAAGATTCCGAACCTATATGCGATGTTGGTGTAAGAACTAGTAAAGATTCCCCACTCTATGAATTCATGAATTGAATCACGTACTGAAGATATTATCTTCTTCACTTGAAATGAAATCAACCATAGTGTTACATCAAACCCGTCATTATCAAGAACGTATCTGGATATATTCCAAAATCGATGAAGAAAGTTGAATACGACAAGACGTATATGAAACGCCACTCTAACGTTATCATCTGTGGATACGAATTAATGCAAAGACTCATTAACGATAATGAACGAAGAAATGTTTCGGCATAAGGTCGATAAATGACAAGCTACTGTACAACCGATCTACAGTACCTCCTCATAAATAATGACAAATCCCATATTCTGAAAATCCTAAACCAATAAATGCCATTAGATATTACTTACAAGTCGTTGCTGAACTGTGAACAATGTGAAGATGTTTTGGATGACTTAGAAGATTACGCTACGATGTATGATTTGAAACAAACTCTAAATCCCGAACTATACCTATTATGAAGGTGATGATACGAAACTGCAAAGGCTATTGAAGAACTTTCAATCAAAGAAGGAATGTTGTTGACTAATGACGTACAATCAAGACTTGTGAATGAACGAAGTGATGTGCAAATATGTTAAATATGCTCCAAGATACGATGTTATACCTTGCAAAGGACTCTTGGTTATGGATGTTGAATCTAAACGGGAACCTGGAAAAAGGATCATTGGATACCTTGCTTAATCTAAGATTATTAACCTCTTGAAGAAAGAACAAGTCTGATAACGTGGAAAGTTTGAGAATACTTATCTGTATAGATAATGACGAAATTATGGTTTAACCAAATAAACATGTCACGGTCATAATTAAGTATGATCACTACGAAATTTTGAACATTAAGCCTTAGAAGAATTTCGAGGACGAAATTCCTTTAAGGGGGGAAGAAATGTAACGCCCCAAAACATACCCTAGAATTATTAATGAATAAGTATTCAATTAATCAAATTGTTTTGATTAAAATAAATTGTTGTTAGGCTTTGGGCCTGTAACACCCTAATCCGTCCAGATCTGCAGCCCCTTTCGGACTAAAGTATTAACATGGTAATCGTAAAAATTTAAAACATTTTAACATCTTTATTTATCATAAAATAATATTCCATTCATAACAGTAATAAATTACAGAGTTTTTAACCATAATGCGGAAGCAATTTAAATCATGTCTCATAACAATTTAATTTAATCATTTTAAATCATAAATCCACCACGATCGCCTCGCCCCTTCTTCTGCCAGGAACATGTCAACTACTCGTTCTGCCTACCTGCGTGTAGCAAATAAAACACACTACACGCTCAGCGGTGAAGCTGAGTAAGCATATCTAAAGCGTCGAACATCCACATAAATTGAATCCAAATTCATAATCAAATCATTTGATATCATGCACAGAGTATTCAATAATCAATATTCAACATTCGTCATTCAATATTCATATTCAACATTCAACATCCTCATTCAATAATATCCTTAAACTATTCTTAGTCTAAGGCCAATTTATTTGATGTTTACCAACTCTTAAACTAGTTCTAGTTTAAGGTACCTCTATCCAACTCTTAAGCTAGGTCATTAGTTTAAGGTAC